GGAAAGAGTGGCCACTCCTGCATGCCCCATGAACTTCACTTCTGGTGCTCTCCATCCATCTCCCACACTGCCTGAAGACTGGAAAACAGTGGTGAGTGAGATACATTTCTTTCTCATCTGGGCATGACAAGATTTATCCCACTTCTCAACATCCACCTGCAACACCAGAGGTGGGAATCCACTTCATCCCCTTGCTCGGGACACAGCCCAACAGGAGCACTGAGACAACGTGGCAGCAAGGCCACTGATGATGGGACCCAGAGCTGAGGTTTGCAGCCTGGCACTGGGATCTTGTAGCCAAATGGGCTGCACATTTCCAGCCCCAGCTCTCCTGCAGTCACACACAGTGCTTGATGTGGTTAAGCAGTTTCTGGGGCACATAATATCATGCCTGTAGGGAGCCCTCCACCACTATGCCAGTGATGAACCTGGTTTCACTTCCCAGTTTCATTTCCAGTAAGAAAGGAGGAGGGTGTGTTGCAGGACACCTCTGCACCAGCAGAAGTCTCATGGTACAGGATACCACCCTGGATTTTAACCCCCTTGAACCCTTTGAGTTTGCATGTTCTCTATTAAAGCTGGTTTCTGAAGCCAAAAGACATTAATTATGTTCTCCAAACATAACAAGAGATGTTTTCTTCTGTTCCCATCCTTGAAATGAGATGAGCTTAGATGTTTAAAAGATCCAGATCTAACTGGGAAATTAAATGTTGCCTCTGAATTTGATAACATACTTTCCAGCCAGCTCTTGGTTGTTGGGGGGCTAACACGAAACACATGTCAGGGAGGCTGCAGAAACATGCTGGGAGCAGAGGGTGTAGCAGAGGAATGCAAGGTTTCTGGCAGGGGAGAGCAGTCCCCAGGCTGGGTTTAGACTAGTCTGGACCCTGGTGGGATGGGAGCCATGGGGAGCACTGCTCCTTGGAGGCACCCTCTTCCCAACAGGGTGACCAAGGAGGACCAAGACCTGCAGCTCAGCTGGTCCCTCCATCTCTCATCCTGCCCTGAAATACATCCCCACGCCACCGCCATACCCAGGCTGGGCTGCACATCTCACTGTCACTCTGGCAGGTTTTGGCAGGATGTCCAACTGCCCTCATTTCACCCCAGCTGCCTCTGCCCCTCAGCAGCCACAGACCAAGCTCCCTCTGCCCTCACCCCAGCACCTCACGGGCCCAACCTGGCAGCCCGATGCCAGCAGCTGCTCCCCTGCCACGTGCCAGGCATCACCCCAGCGCCGCACTCGTGGCCCGCGAGCAGGAACCAGGACAGCAGCTTCTGGCAAAGACTTCCAGCCTCTGACCCTGATTTCATCCCAGGCTTCCTGAGAGCAGGCTGCAAAGCAGGACCAGTGCTGGGTGGGACACACCCTTGGCCCTTTATGATCATTTTGTTTGCCTTTTAGTAATTGCACCAAGAGGCCTGAATCTCAGTGAGCTAAAAGATCTGTCGCTTGGTCTTTTAACAGAAAGTGTTTTTTTTCCCCCCCTGCTTCAGGGGACCACAACATTATGCAAAAAGACCAGCTTTCTTTGGAGAGAGATAGAAAAAATCATCCCAGCTTTTATAAACGGGAAGAAAGGGTTTAAAACAAGCCTTTCTAAAACACTTTTTTTTCCCCCCACTGTCTAGAAAATTAAAATGATGTGCCTACCATACAAGAAAAACATAATCCTCATTATTTTTAAGCCAGTTTCTTAGTTTCTGAGAGACTTGGGAGGAGAAAGGTAATTCTGTTCCCATTAAATCAAGATTCTTATTTTTGTGCCCCCATGCTCACATCCAGGCTTTGG